TAGTCCAGTCTTCATGGGACACATGTGGTTGTTCTTTTACTCTTGATTCATTATTCATGTCCATTTGGACATGCCTTTTGCTTTTCTCATTGGCCATGTAGGTGATGGTCAGCTTTCTTCTTCAGACAGACTGCTGAAAGTAAGGTGTTCTGCTCCCAGCTTCTATTATTATTTTTAGTAGCAGCTCTAGCGGCAGCATTCCATTGAGAGCATTATGTGATGGTTAATAGCATGGACTCTGGGGCTAGTCAGCATGGTTCAAATCTTCTATGAGCTGTGATCTGCCACAAGTTACTGAAGTTATTCAACATATGTGGGCCTCATCTATAAAATGAGAATAGTAACAGTATCCACCTCATGGGATTGTTATGGGCATTAGATAATGTGATATTGTAAAGTGCTTAGATATTTGTAAAATAGTGTATCCCTGCTGTAGAAAAGTGCAACAGTGGCCGCAGATGATTTTCATCCCCACAAGCACACTTCTTTACAAGGGACTTTGCTCTTCATTCCACCAAGAGGTGAAATTTATTTCTCTGTCTTTTGAATCTGGTCTTGGCCTCGCAATTTGCTTTGGTCAGTGGGACATTCACAAATGTGATGCAAACATTCTTGGAAATGTTTGCAGCATTTTATGACTTGCCTTTTCTTGCTGTTCTTGATCACTTGAGTGTGAATGAACCTGGGCTAGCCTGCCTGATGATGAGAGACAGATGGTCAGGTCATCCCCCTGCCCCAGCTATCACTGCGCCAATGTTCAGACCTGTAAGTAAAGCCATCTTGGACTAGTCGTCACCAGCTTAGTCTCCAGATGAACACAGATAATAAGCAACACCAGTAGAAATCAGCCATCCTGACTGTGACCATAAGAACCACTTTAGCAACACGATGAATTATAAGAAATAACAGGTGTTTGTTGTTTTAAGCTACTGTGTTTTAAACTAACTGATACATGAGAGGACATTTTTCTTCTAACTCCCGTTTACTCATTAAGTAAGAAAGACTTCCATCCCCACTTGGTTGCTTATTGCGGAAACTGGTGTGATGGATTGAAATAATATTGATCAAATATTAGCTCACTCCTCCATCACTCACTCTGGGGCAAAGGATATTTCTCTAAGACGCTGATTTCGGGCTTGTCCATTTAACAAGCTTTGACCAGTGAACGTGAGCAGGCATGATGCATGCAGAGGCTTCAAATATGCTGTGTGGTTTGGCTGAAGTCTGCCTTCCTGCCTATCAATGTGAGAAGAATATGCCCTGAGTTGCTAATACTCCTAGAATGACAGCAGACCTAAACTGAACTCAGAGACTAGTGCCCAGCCCAGCTAATCTAAATTCCCAGGCAGAGCTGCCCTGGCCAACCCACAGACATTTGAAAGAACAAGGTAAATGCTTATTGTTCTAAGCCACTCAGTGTTGAAGTGGGTTGTAACCCATGACACCCCTTTCTCTCAACATCCAGCCTGTGTGATGATCTCCAAGTTCTGTCCATTCTGCCCATAAAATATGCCCAGAATCTGTCCAGTTCTTTCCTGCTCCATTGCCATTGCTCTAGCTCCATCCACTATTGCCCTTTGGCCAGATTATTGAAGAAACCCCTGGTCTCCCTGCTTATCCTCCACTATGTTAACCCACATAACCACTATTCCTGTCCCAGTTAAAGTATCTGTGGCATTCCATTGCAAGCAAGATACAATCTAAATCCTTGCAAGGCCCTGCCCCTGCCTCCCTCCCCAGCCTTGTCTCACCATTCTCCCCTCACACCTCACTGGTTGCTCCATTGACACATACAGGTTGGAAGGCCACCTACTTTCTGAGCTGGCGGACAGAAATTGGGGTATTACTAAATTTCTTTTTTTCTGTAATCTGTATTTGTGAGGTGAAGGAGGGATTATCACAGGACAAAGCCAGACTAAGATTTTCTCATTCTGCTCCACTGGCCTCACAGCTAAAGCGGTGTTGCCTCCCAGGCACAGGCTGTCAGTTTTAATTTCTAGTGGGATCTCATCATTTCCAGTCTCAATAAATATCTTAGCAGAAAGTTAGGAGAGGATGCAAGCCAGATACTATTTTAAGTGAGAAGTCTGGGACAGCTGTCACATTAATAAAAGGGAACAAACGTTGGCTGAGGGTGTCAGGTGGCAGACACTGTATTAGACGGTAGATGCGCATCACCTCAGCGACTGCACACAACACTGGTGAACCGGTGGTTCAGCCATTCGCAAACATTTCTCAACCATTTTTTAAGCAGTCAGTGTGCCAGGTGCCGAGACAGTTTTGAGCCAGTCAGACCCCATCCCTGCCCTCGTGGGGCTTACAGTCTGGTGGGTACACAATTGTGGGGCCCAGCACCAAATAAAAAGGAGGCCCTGTTTCAAAAATTACTAGAAATCTTAAGGTGGCAACAGCAGAGCATTCAGCTAAGTGTGGGGTCCCTCCAAATGGGGCACCATGTGCACCCACACAGTCCTCATGCTGTGAAGAGCTCCTGGATGAGAAAGGGCAGTTGACAAGAAGAACAAGCTTGGAACACCCACGTTTAAGAGATGTGCAGAAGAATAAATTCCTGCAAAGGAGGTTGAGAACAGCCAGGTGATAGAAGGAGAAACAGGAACATTGTCCTAAACTCCAAGAAAATGTCTGGAAAAGACTGGTCCACAGTGTCAACTGCTGCAGTAACCTCAAGTAAATGGAAGACCAAAAGCCATGCGTTAGGGACATCAATACTAAGCCGGTGGCAGCTCCCGGAATGATGTCACAGGATGCTGAGGGCCTTCAGGATGTTGACTTACTGGAATGAAGGGTGAGCTAGAAATGAAGAAGTGTGTGTAGCTGTAGATGATCTCTTCTCAGGAAAGACAGGTTACTTATCTTGGTTAGAGACTGCTGCCAGTCAAGAGAGTGCTTTAGCTATTTATTAATTTACATGTTTGTTTATGAAAAGAGAGACCCAAGCATACTTAGAAGATATGCAGGGACCATTAGGAATGGAGTAGTGGAAAACATTGAGGTGAGGATAATAACTACCTTTGAATAATAAGCTAGCTGTTATTCTCTATCTGGAGGGAATATAAAGCCAGGAAAAGGAATATACTCACTTTTCAAATATGCATGTATTGTTCACAAAATTGGTTCTATTCGGAGACACAAGAAAGTGCTTATTAAGTCATTAAGTCCTGAAAGGGGGAACTTCCATGTATCATATTCTCAGAGAGCAATGCAATGAGACAAGGAATAATCAACCAAAAATGAAAAGTCCCAAAGGCATGGACATTATAAGATAATGCCTGGATCACAAAGGGATGCATGGGTAGAAAAAAATAAGCTATGAAAATAACAAACCTACAGGATGCTGCCCAATAGGGGCTGGAGGAAAAACATATTGCTCCAGACAGTCCTATATTCAAATAAGGGATCTAAAGCATTATGAAAGAAATCTGTGCTTAAAAGAACTTTAAACAACTGAAGAAAGTAACCAGCCAAGGGAAGAAAGAAAAAGGTAAGACCCAAAACAGGAATAAAATCAGAAAAGTAAACACAAGAAGCAAATATAGTAAACATTTTAATACATGTTAAAATTACGATCAATTCAAAGTACAGTCTCTGCAGATGACTTCACAGAGGATAAAAAACAGAGAGCAAAAATTAAAGTAGTATAATCATGGCTGTCACTTGTTAATCAGCTCCTATAAATTATGTCTTTATGACAGCCTTGTAATAGGGGTCATTGTTTTTCTGCATTTTACTTGTAAGGAAACTAAAGCTCAGAGAGAATATGAACTTAGTCATCCATTAAGCTGTTTTCTCTACACCAGGTTGTCTATGTTGGGAAGAGACAAACGAGGAAGAGAAAAGTGAGAGAAAAAATATTAAAGGTAATATGGTGAGCTCATAGCCCTAATTTTTATGTACAGTTCAAAGTGATTATAAAAATCTATTAGGATTTAGTCAAAAACAAAAAACTCAGTATGATAAACATACGATAAGCATTTGAATAGTATCTTAGTATTTTCTTCAGTCTCTCTCTCCAGGAATATCTACTTTGTACTTTATTCCTTACCCCAGTATCTCATCAAATCTTCACAAAATTCTGAGAATGGCTTTTATATTTATTCCTATTTAACAGGTAAGAAACTGAGAACTAGAAAATGACTCACTAGGACTCATTCTGGTGTCTAATATCTAGCATTCTAACATCACAGGATTATTTAAAAATTAAATCTATTTTTTTAGTTGAGATATAATTCACATACCACAAGAAATTCATTCTCATACAGAATACAAGTCAGTAATTTTCAGTATTTTTGGAAGGTTGGGCAGCCATCACCATCCTCTAATTCCAGAACAGCTTCACCACCCCAGGAAGAAGCCTGGTGCCCATTAGCAGCCACCCTACTTCCCCTGGTAAACACCGATCTACTTTCTGTTTCTACAAACTTGCTTAGTTGGGACTAATGGACTCATATAAACATGACTGGCCTTTTGTGTCTGGCTTCTTTCACTTACCATAATGTTTTTAAGGTTCATCCATCTGGTAGCAAATATTTAGGATTTAAGAGTCAGGAGACAACGTGGACATCCTTTCCTGAGTCCTCTCTTTTTACAGGTGGAGAAACTGAGACCTAGGACAGCCATGTAGTGAATGGCATCCCCATCCCCCACTGCCTAATCCTGTGCTTTTTCCACCAAACTATACCCACCAAGATAATCAGTATAATAATAAAGGGATTCCACAAATAGGTCAAAACATTATATTAATTTGATATACCAAACATTATAAATAACAAAATACAAAATAAGAAAAGCTGATGTTTTTCTAAATATTTTAAATTTTTGCAAGGAGTCCCATAGTCATTTATTTCATGTGACACAAGAATGGCACCAGATGCTTATGTAGGAAAACTGGGCATAATTACCACAGTGTATTACATGACTAAAAGTTAGAGTTCATGTTCTATGTACAAAGTCAGCTATTTAAAAAACAAAGTCTTAATTACCCTTAGTGAGATTTCCAAATTTTCTCCTCTCCAGAGCTCCATGCCCTTGTCATACTGTCCAATCTCATTAAAGTAATGTCTATCTATGGCAAAAATTCCCCCAGCCATTGCAGGTGACCTAAAAAGGGAATATAAATATTAGATTGATTGCATAGATTCAGTCATTTCACCAAATTATATTGAATATTAGCAATAACTTAGTTAAAAACTAGAAAACCGTATTAAGACCAAAATTATCTTAATATGCATTTAAGCATGTAAAATTACACTGAAAACCATTACTACCTACAAATAAGCAATAACTTCTACTTAGCTCTCACCAAATTATGTAAGCAGTACATTCCAAATGTCTTGGTGAGAGAGAATATTATCTTTAGAATGTGAGTTTTCTTGGGGATGACGATGGGGTTGGGTAGTGGAGTTCAGAGACCTCCCTTTCTAAGGGTGTTAAGTGAATTATAATATTTACTTCTGGGAAAATCATAATGTTGTTATGGAAAAACCTGGACTGGATCGCTGATGGAAGAACCAAGCGGCACTCGGAGGTCTTGAAATGCTGAGGTTTTATTTCCCACCGGCGGGCCCAGAGGGGAGTGATTTCCCAAGGTCTGCGCCCTGAGCACAAGCAAGGGGAGCAATTTACATTATTTTGATATGTGGCATTTCGGCTTGCGCAGGGCAGAAGAGGAGCCCCGAGGAGGGGACGGGGGAGCTGGGAGTGCTTTGCCAACCGGAGGGAAAAGCGGTTTGCTGACCTTGACGGCTGTGTTGAATATTTCCCTAATCAATTTTACAAAGCATGTTTTCTTTTGGTCCACCAACAGCAGGATCCAATAATCCCAAACTAAGAAGTTTGAAAATAATCACACGTTTATTTATTCATCTATCCATTCATTCATTTTTAAAAAGTGTATGTTAAGCACCTGTAATGTGTTGGGACAAATCAGTGAATCAATGGGCAAGATCCCAGCTGTCGTGGGGCCGAGGGCGGAGGCAGGGACGTGCGCTGGAAGTCGCTGCTGTGGCGAGAGAGGAAGGACGTGGGATCCTAGAGGCGGCCCGGCAGTGAAGGTGTGGGACGCGAGCGAACCTTGGCCTGTTGTGGAGATGGAGGCGGCAGGCGGAGTGCTGGGGCCGAGGGTCAAGGCTGGCTCCACTGGTTCTGGCCTCGGTACCTGGCGGAGGGGGTCGCCACGCGCGGACCCGGGGAGTGCGTGGGAGGAGCAGGTTTGGGGTGGGAAGATTCCGTTTGGGACACGTTTGAGGTGTCCACTCGGCATCAAGTGGGGCCCCGGTGGGCAGGGGATAGGGGAGCCTGGCGTTCTGAAAGGCTGCGGCCAGAGACCTAAGGGGCGTCATCGGCATAAACCGGACGCGCACTCTCAGCGGGGAGGCCGGAGAAGAGGACAGAGGCCCGAGCCCCGGGCGCTGCGGCAGAGCAGGAGTCCGCCCCGGAGAGGAGACGGGAGGGAGCGACCGGTGGGCGGGAGGAGGGAGCCCCGGCGAGCGCGGCTGCAGAGCAGAGGGGGCGGCAGCGTGCGCCGGGCCGGGAGGAGAACGCCGGATGTGGCTGCGTGACGGCCGGGAACAAGCTCAGGTGGGATGGGGGACAGTCCGATGAACGTGGGCTCGAGAGGCAGGAGGTGAGTGTCGGGGAACTGGGGACGGTGGTGCAGATACCGCTTTCCAGGGGCATTACTACCGAAGAGGGAAGAGGACAGCAGAGGCAGCTGATGGAACAAGGTTTTCTTTGTTAATTGTGAGAGCTAGGAGCACGTCTGTGTTTCATTGGACTGATCCTGTCTGGTACACGGGCCAGTATACATCCCGTTGGGACGCTGGGTGGCGTACACCCCTCCTGGTCCACTGGACTTACCGGCAAGCCAGAGGGCCCCGGAGAAAACGCTTATTCCCCGGTCACAGCAGGTATCGAAACGATATTTCACCTGCCTTCCTTCCCGCTGGGCCAGACACATTTGAAAGCAGGGATCACATTTTCTACAGATAACACAAAGCCTGGCATGTAACAGGTTCTCAACAAATAGTTACATTTACAAATTAAGTAGTTTCATGAAGCAGTTTTTAAAGCTATGCCATAGGCCACGCTTCAAACAGGGTAAAAATACTTGCAGCTCACAGTATTCAAGTTACACCTTCCTCTCAAGAGAGAAAGCTTTTATTCTAAAAATCTTGCAATCGCTGAGCATGTGTGTGCCTGTCTCAATGGGAGGACTGATGGGTAGTGGTGATAACTCAGGCCACAGTCTGAGACAGCAGGAAAAAGTGAAAAAGGCTGTCACATGTCCTTAGGAAAGGAAGGGGTAGGCAGGAGGGTCCCTCGGGGATCGTGGTCCCTGCACGCCCCTTCCCTGGGTGGCTCCGAGCCACCTCTAGCATCAGCTTACAGCCATGATTTTTCTTGCTTGTTCTAAGTTTTCCAAAATTCATTGCATCTACTTTTTTCTTTTTGCCATGGTAAATGGGGAAAAAATGTATCTTCAGACATTAATGCCATGGCTACTGTCTAAAATTTATTTTTTCTTTTAACCTTTTAAAACAACTTATTTTTCCTAACATATAGTATTATAAATAATTATGATAGATTATAACACATATAATATGTATAATATATATTCTCTCTATATACACACATGCATATATAATCACACAATTAGTATCATACTAATAGAAGTTTTTGTGGCCTGATTTTTTATTTAACATAGTGTAAGAATTTTCCCTTTTAGTTATTTAGCTTTCAAAAACTTTAAGTATATAATATTCCACAAAATATGTGTATATGTTTTAATCATTTTAATATTAAAGATTTATGTTGTTTTGAATTTCCTACTAATATAAATATTGATTCAATATACATCTCTGTACTTGTTTCCCACTAACTTTTTAGAGATGAATTCCAAGTAGAATTATTGCATTAAAGAATACAAACACAAGATTTTTAACTTTATTGCCAAATTGTTTTAAAAAAACATGTATGAATATTAACAGCACTAATAGTGTTAAAACTCAAAAAATGTTACTATTCAACAATTAAATATTAGAAATATAATTTCCCTATTGAAAATTTTAGACTCTAACAAATACTTGACACGTGAGGTATGAAATTTATAAAAATTACAAGTCAATCTTTTTTGTAAATGGAATGCCACAGGTACTTGTTGCTAAAAGTAACCCCATTTTAAATTATTTTGAGATGACCTGAAGAGGTTGATGCTCTATTTTTTATTTTGATTTTATATTAAAGATTTTTACACCCTAAATTTTATTTAAATGAAGTATATATTTGTTCTTCTTCATTCTGAAATCCATAACATTCATAGCTATTATTTACACTGATGACTTCCTCTGTGTCAGGCCTTAAACTATGTGCTTCACAAGCATTGGCTTACTTAATCCCCTCAGTAATCCAGAGACAGGTATTATTAATATCGCCACTTTACAAATGGAGATACTGAAGCTGAGAGGGGTAACTGGCCCAACAGAGGGCTGAATGCACAGCTCCAGCCAATCACCTACGGTCTCCAGGAGATGTGCAGTGCACAGCCTGTACAGCTGTATATGGCAGTCCTAAACAGCTAACAAGTGATGTCTGGAGCAGAGGAAAGATCAGTGTCACACAGTGGAAGGTGTACGAAGAAGTCTTCATGTTATCCTAAAGGCAGTGGAAAGACATTTGGTGAATGCAAAGTAGGGTTTAAGAAAATTAGTACAGTCCCAGAGAGACTGGACTGAGGGGAGAACCTGCAGGCCAGACTGCCCTTTACAGAACAGAGTCTATGCCTGGAGCAGTGAGGCCTGGACCATGGGGCCAGGCAGAGGGATGGACAGCTGTGCTGGGGGAGTCATCACGAAGGATAGGTCTCCTGGAGCTGGTCAGTGGCTGGATTAGAGTAGGCAGTGAGAGATTTGGAGTCTGCTACACAGCATTCAGATGTGACCATGTTTAGGGCTGCATGATATTCCATCATGGTCCTCGCATGAAGTGCTAAATCATCTCCCAATTATTCCTCCCAATTTTTAGATAATCTTTATTTCATAGGAGGCCCAGCTGCTGACTAAGAGTGGGGCTTCAGGGCAGGGGCAGGTATTGGGACTAAGGGAAGTAATAAAGGTTTGGAATAGCCACTTTGGAGAATGAGTGGATAAAGGGACTGCAGAGCAGATAAGGTTGGAGACCATGAATGTGCAGGAGCATCAGTTCACATCTCCTCGAGGAGCAAAGGCAACAGATGGTGGAGTTGGTCCAGAGTCAGAGATTCCAGGGCTCTTGTGGCAGCTGGGATGGGGAGTGTGGCAACGGAAGGTACTGGTGAAAAGAGAAGGGGGTTTATAGATCAGGAAGTCCGGGCCCCAAAAGAAGAAAGAAGATCATAGGGGTTAAAAGGAAAATCGAAGAACTGGAATTCTCGATGATGTTCAAGGGCAAGTGTTGGTGGAGCAGAGCAGGAACAAGCTAGGAAGATCCAAGGTTTTGGCCAGAGAGAGAGCTTCTGGCAATTTAGAAGATGAAGGTCTAGGCTGTGGCTGTAGGAATAATAATAGCCAACAATTACAAAATAGCTAACGTTTGTGTCATGCCCTTTATGGACAGGTAGTGTTCTAAGCTTTGATATAAAGAAATTTAAATCTCATAACCACCCCGTGAATTATTATTATTCTCTAGACTTTACAGATAAGGAACTAAGGTACAGAGAGGTTAAGTAACCTGCACAATATTACACAGCTCTAGCTAAATTAGAATACAGGTGAAGATCAAAGACTTACTAGGCTATAGTCTTAAAAAATTTACTTGTGAGGTTTATGAAGCAAAGAAATTAATAGTAGAAGAAAAACGAGCCTGGTGTCAAAGTTATCATGTGGGGAGGAAGTCTCTTCAGAAATAGCCTCATAAATGAAGTTGAAAGTCATAACATTGAAATTGTTCTCACATTTAGAAATACATTTTCCAAGACTAATGATCAAGGAAAATCACATCAATCTCAACCTATAAAGTTACAGATGGAAGCCCTTGGATAAATGTTTTATATATGAATTTGGCAAAGATATCTACTTTTTCTGGGCTATTCACAGTACTGGAATTTAATTCATAAACTACAACTTGCTCCTGTCAACCAAGTCCACATTCTAACGATGGGCAGCTGGAATCTGAGAGATACCAACCACGGTGGTGTTCTAACTGTGCTCATTTACAACTGAAGAAACACAAAAGCTACCAAGTTCTGTTATTATAGACTTTTAAAAACAAGATGAATAACAAAATATTTCTCTTCATTAAGCCCAAGAAATCAAATGAATAATATGTGAAAGCTTCATCTTTTTTCCCCAAGTCCCAGTACATATATATTTTATCCCCCAAACCAGAAGAAATCTCACCGGATGGGTGTAGTGGGTCCTTCTGGTCCATCCATCTCATAAGAGAAAATGTTATCCCATTTAAATTGTAGATACCAGTTGAAAGCTCCCCTTATGACAGGCGATGGCTGGTATTCCAGGGTCACGTGGCCAATGACATCTATCAGAGGACACACCACCGTTTTGGGGTCCTTGGCGATGGCATACAGCAGGGGCTCCAGCCATGCTTTCTTTACCTCCCAGTGGCTATCCAGGAACACCAGAATGTTCCCTGGGGAGGCAGGAACAGGCTAGTGTTAGTGCACATGGATGAAACATCACAACCCAGACCAAAGTACAACACAATGAGAATTTGTTGAGCATTTACTGTGTTTGACTCCTAAGGTGCTTTCAATTTCACTGGGGGGAGACAAGGAACACAGGGTGAATTTGTTTTGTCCCCAAAATGCGGGGCATCATGTGTCAGAAGTGTTCAGAAGAAGCTGGTGAACTGTGTAGGTTAGAGAGTGGTTTAGGGGAGATTCTAAAGAAGCAGGTGGAAATGAACTGGCCGTCAGTTAAAAAGAAAGGACCATTTTAGGTTGGCCTTGATTGATCAACTCAATTTAGCAACTGTTCACTGTGAGGATGCCTACTTTGGTTATTTAGTACACCGCTTGGGATGCAAAGATGCATAATTATTCTTGCTCATGAGGGTCTATTCTACTCAGAGAACATGGCATGACCAAAGTAAAGAATACGTGCTGTTAAAGCACATTGGATAGGCTCAGATTGGGAGCGACCTCAAAATTCAGGTGCAGAGTCTGCACTTTCTCAGTAGCCAATATAGAATCATAGGAAACTCTGCAAAAATGCCATAACTTAATATTGTTAAAATGACAGTAGTCCCCAAATTGATCTACAGATGTAATGCAATCCTTAATCAGAATCCTACCCACCTGGCTCTTTTTTTGCAGAAATTTATCCTAAAATTCACATGGAAAGGCAAGGGATCCACATTAGCTAAAACAATCTTGCAAAAAAACAAAGCTGAAGGACTTCTGGATTTCAAAACTTACTACAATGCTATCATAATTAACCCAGTATGAAACGGCATAAAGACAAACACATAGACCAAAGAAATAGAGAGTGCAGAAATAAACCAAACATCTGCGGTCAGATGATTTTGATGAGGGTTCCAAGATAAGTCAATGGGGGAAGAATAGTCTTTTCAATAAATGTTCCTGAAACAACTCGACAGCCTCATGAAAAAGAAGCTGGACTCCTTGTATCAGACTAAACACAAAAATTAAGTCAGATCATTCATAGGGCTGAAAAGCTAAACCTAAAAATAGAAAACTCTTAGAAGAAAACATTGGCATACATTTCATGACCTTAGGTTAGATGGTTTCTTAGATATGACACCAAAAATACCAGCAACAAAACAAAACGTTAATAGGGCTTCATCAAATTAAAAACTTTTGCATTTAAACAGATAGCATCAAGAAAGTTGAAAAAAACTCACAAAACGGTCGAAATTATTTGTAAATTATGTATCAGATAAAGGACTTGTATCTGGAATATATATGGGACTTTACAGCTCAATAATACAAAGACGACTTAATTTTTTAGAAATAGGTAAAGGATTTGAATAGACATTTTTCCAAAAATAGATATACAAATGGGTAATAAGCATGTGAATAGGTACTCAGTGTCATTAGTCATTAGGGAAATGCTAATCAAAATCACAATAAGAGATCACCTCACATCTACCAGGATAGTTATAACCAAAAGACAGGCAATATCAAGTGTTGGGAGATTGTGGAGAAATTGGAACACTTGTCCATTGCTGATGGGAATGTAAAATGTTGTGGTCACTTTCAAGATTTGGCAGTTCCTCAAAAGTTAAACATAGAGTTACAGTATAACCCAGTAATTGAATTCCTAGGTATACATTCACCCAAGAGAAATGAAACTTATGCCCACGCAAAATCTTGTACATGAATGTTCATAGCAGCAGATGAACATGAATGTTCATCCATCCATCAATGGATGAATGGATTAACAAGATGTAGAGCCACACGATGGAATATTATTTGGCAATAAAAATGAAGGAAGTGCTGATATATGCTGCAACATGGATGAACCTTGAAACTATTATGCTAAGAAAAAGGAGCCAGTCACAAAAGACCACATATTATATAATTCCATTACATGAAATGTCTAGAATAGGTCAGTCTGTATATATAGCACTGCATGCTTTAAATGGGTGAATTGCACGGCATGTGAATTATATCTCAATAGAACTATTAAAATCATTAGGAAAGAAAAAAACACATCCTCCAAATCTTTCTATAAAATATAACTTTTCTCATCTGTAATTCACAACAGAAGTTTAAATCATTAAAAATAATATAAACTTTATCCCTCAGCTCAGATCACTGGTTTCTTATCTATCCATCCAAAAATAGTCTCTATTCATATTGGCAAACACTCATGTGTATTCGTTCAACCAATTCCTTAAAAAAAGCAGGATTCTTGGGAAAAGCAACTTAATTTTGTTCCTTTAAATCCACAGGGAAGAAGGGTCCTTTCCCTGCCCTTGGTTCCAAACCAGAGCAGGCCCTAGGACTTCTCTGGCTACTCTTGGGTTAATCAAAAGTGTAATAGTCACTTAGAGTGGAAAACACGCTCTCTGTTCAGCAATTACCATTTTCAATCCCATGTTACAATCAAAACTTCCCTGGCTGCGTGCAGAATTGCTGACTGTCCCTTCCCCCACAGCTGGGTTGCTTTGCAGGAAGGTCACTTGCTTTTGGATTGAGTTGTCTTCTCTCTTCCGTCTTCTTCCCCCTCCCCACTTGTTACCTATGGTTTCTGACCTCACTGACAGCCAAAGTGGGGTGAGAAAGAAGGAAATGGGGTGGAAAAGTTCTTGTTTGGAGAGATAGCAGGGAGTCTTGGAGCAGGCTCCTTCTCTTAATGGTGTAGCTGGCATGGTAATTTTGAGGACCCCCCCCCTCCAAATTCCTGCTGGGCTCTTATCTGCAGTTCCCATAAACCAGGCAAATGCATCTTATTGGGGTGGTTCAGATTCCCTCCACAGCAACCTAGGATCCTGTGTTCTACCTCTAGCTTCTTTCCTGCTCAGAACTGTCCATCCTTCTAGAGAGCCCATCAGACATGACCTAAGATGGTCTGTATTGCTCTCTCACTGAAACGCCCACCACCTGAGCAGATTCTGTCATCGACAGAGAGCCTAACACAGAAGTGAGTGCCCCTTGTTCTGCAACTAGCCACAGTCTGTTTGTGCTTTTGATTCCCAGGCAAGAAGCCAACAGCAATTCGCTTCTCCTCACTTCCAGTATATTATCAGTTTTGTTGTATTGATGTCTGAGAACGTGCTGAATCATCAATACAGGAAATTCATATCAAGTCCTTCTCACCAGGCTTCAATGAGCAGCTTTCTCCAAAAATCATCTCTAATTCTAGCAATCTGACTCACTGTGGCTGAGTTACCTTATGGGTTCTCAGATGCCCGTTTTGAAGTTTCTTTACAGTGGTGTGTCTGACAACTCACTCTGGAATATAACTCTGTTGTCTTCAACCAAAACTGAGCTAAAAAGAGTTCCAGTTTGAAAACAATTTTTCATACTATTGGTAGCACACATACTGTTCAACAATTAGCATTTTTCACTTAAAATAGCTTCTGTGACATTACATAATATCAACATTTTAAAGTCATGTCTGCTAATTCATTAGGTGAAAAATAACATCTGATTCTCCAAAGACATACAAAGAGCCAATAAGGACTAGAAAGGATGCTAAACACCATTAGTCCTTAAGGAAATGCAAATTAAAACTACAGTGAGGTACTATTTCATATCTACTAGGGTGGCTAGAATTAAAAAAAAAAACCAAAAGACAAAATAACAAGCATTGGCAAGGATGTGGGAAAATTGGACATCTTATACATTGCCGATGGGAATGTAAATGGTGCAGTTGCTGTGGAAAAGTTTGGCAGTTCCTTAAAAAGTTAAAACAGAATTATCATGATCCACCAATTCCACTCAAAAGAATCCAAACAAATACATGTATGCACACGTTCATAGCAGTATTCTTTATACTAGCCAAAAGGTGGGAACAGCCCAAATGTCCACCAACAGATGGAGAAACAAACTGTGGTATATCCATACAGTGGAATATTACTCAGCTCAAAAGGAATGAAGTGCTGATACATGCTGCTGTAGATGAATCTCAAAAACATGCTAAGTGAAAGAGCTGGACACAAAGGTATGACTCCATGTATATGAAATACCCAGAATGAGGAAATCCAGAGACAGAATGGTGATTGGTGGTTGCCAGGGGCTGGCAGAAGGGAAATGGGATAAACTGCCTAATGGATATGCCCATGGTGGATATGGGTTCTCTTTTGCGGTTACAAAAATGTTTTGTAATGAGATAGAGATGGTGGCTGCCCAGCATTGTGAATGTACTAAATGCTACTGAATTGTTTGCTTAAAAAAATGGTTACTTTTATGTTTTAGAAATATCACATCAACAACAACAAAAATCTGCCAAGGAAGACATACACATGGCCAATAGGTACATGAACAGATGCTTCATATCACTGACCTTCAGGGAAATGCAAATCAAGACCACAGTGAGCTATCCCATCACACCCCTTAGAATGGCCATTACCCATAAGATAAGAAATACTAAATGCTGGCGAGGATGTGGAGGAAAGGGAACCGTTGTGCTCGGTTGGTAGGAATGTAAATTGGTGCAGCCACTGTGGAAAACAGTATGGAGGGTCCTCAAAAAATTAAAAATACAAGTATCATTTTATCCAGCAATTACACTTCTGGGTATTTATCTGAAAGAAGCTAAATCACTATCTCAAAGAGATACATGTACCTCCATGTTCACTACAATGTTATTTAGAACAACCAAGACATAGAAGCAACCTGTGTCCATCAACAGATGAAGGGATGAAGAAGTTGTAGTACATAAAAATATTTCACTACAGTGAAATATTATTCAGCCATGAAAAGGAAACCCTGCCATTTGGAACACAGCTGGAGCTTGAGAGCATTACGCTAAGTACAGTAAGTCAGGCAAAGACAACTACTATATGATCTCACTTACATGTGGAATCTAAAAAAAACAAAAAACAAAAAAACGACCCAAACCAAACTCAGATTCAGAGAACAGATTGGTGGTTGCCAGAGAGGGGCTTTGAGAAGGGTGAAGAGAAATGGGTGAAGATAGTCACAATGTACACTGTGGTGA